CTTTTCTAGATTTGGATAGAGTGTGGAAGAATAAGGACCTCTTTCACATTTTATTTGGGGGAATAGTAAGAACTTTCTGTCCAAGAGATACAACAGGAAGTCATAGGAAATCTCAGCAAAGTGAGAAGAAATTTTACATTTGACAGTTTTAACTAGAAACCTTACAGAGATTATAGAAAAAAATATTGGCCAGAGTCAAAGGATGATATAGCCCTTTAACAAATGGTGGTAATATGGTGGTAATCTTCCACTAATTCCACTGTGGATACTCTTACCTTGGTTATACACTGTAAAAGTTAACATAGTTACCTGATAGCCAAGTGCCAGAGTGAGGATATGTTTCCCCTCCATCCACGGACATTTCAAATGGAATACGTCCAGTTTCATACAGTAGAGGTGACACACAATGGGCTTTTCCCTCTTCATCCACATAACCATTAACAGTGATTTCTTTGTCAAACCTGATATAACAGATCAGTATGCAATAAGTAGAAATGCATAATGTTTATAATTTTAAAACAATTTGTAATTTAACACTTTGAAAAGATAAATTAAAAAAAGGACACAACACAAGGACACAAACACTGATTACCTTTATTAGTGCTAGAAATGACTTTTACTGTTATTAGTGCTAACATCTACTATTACCTTTATTAGTGCTAGAAACGACTATTACCTTTGTTATTGCTAGAAACCTTTATTTGTGCTTTCTTCTATAACTGTTTTTCTTTTATTATTATGAGTTGGAGTTCCCTCACTTGAGGGCTAAGTTCCCCTCAACCACCATCTCTATGCCTAGATGGGTCCAAGATTCGGGTTAGTATAGCTTTGTTATTTTAGCTTCCTAGACAAAACAAGCACTTAACCTTTGCAGTGCACCGGTAGCCCCACTGTAATGGATAAAATTTCATATGCCCAGAGTACTTCTTTAGAGCTCTCTATTGTTCTGGTGACCATTGTTACAGAAGCAGAAAGTAATAAGAGTTCCAAAAAAAAATTACAGTTTCAGGGTAAATTATCCAAAGGGAACACATGTTCCAGTCAAAACTGTTTAAGAGGGAAAATCTGTTCCTCTCACTTGCTCTTGCGTCTCAGGGCAGTAAGTAAAGAGAACACTCTTCAAGGGGTAAAGACAGCAAAAACATTATCTTACAGAGGTTTTAACATTTTCTACTCTATCTAAAACTAAAAAAAAGTTTAGGCTATAAATATGCTGGCAAGCTAATCAAAGAAGGCATATCAGGCCCAGCATATTTATCATGGAAAAAGTGATCTATGTTTAAAGTTATGCGGGTGTTTCAAAGCTTGCTAATTTCCCAGAAGCACTAACATCACAGTATATATATAGGAGGGTTCTTTATATTTAAGCCCATTGATCGAGTTTGCTCTTTTTTTTCCAACAGAACCTAATTCTGATGGAAAATACATGAAGGCTTTCTATGACTACTACAATACACATTTTTTATATTTTAACTGGACTCCAGTATGTTTCCATCCTAAAAAGAGGCTTATCAAGAGAGAGTAAACATTTTGTTAAAGACAAGAGTTTGGTACAGGGAGATCAGTGGTAGTTGCACCAAACTGGGTTCTTTACACTAACATTTTTTACTTCTAGTTGATAAAAAGATGATACATATTCAGTTCGCTTCTTTATTCAAAAAAGATACATAGACTATTTTATTTGCATTATGTGAATGCATTGCTGAATGCTAATGAAAAACAGCATACAGTATTATATACTGTCATTTAATTCCTTATTGCTGCTTGGCTATGCCTTGTACGTGCTTCCTGCTGAACAGTGTTGGATAACTTGTGTTTGAGACTGCACTCTTCGGAAGTCATGCATCAAAATCTCAATAGAACATAATATTTTTATCAATGTTTCTGGTTTTAATTTTTATGTGCCATACCTGCATTTCACTACAGCATTTTTGTTAAAGGCCACACCCAGAATGACAAAGTCTATGCCTCCCATCAAAAGGCCAGACTCTGGTGCAATACGCACACAATACGTGCGGTAGTCTGTACAGCAGTTGCCAAGATTCTCACAGGTTACATGGCAGGAGCATTGACCCAGACGTTGTCCACACTGCATAGAACAGGAATTGTCCGTTCCTGGATAATCAAAGAATAAACACAGATTTCTGCATAAACATCCTGGAGTATGTCTCCACCCTTCATCCATTCAGACAATGTCTTGCATTCATTGATAAAAAAAACTTGGAATTCTTTGAATGGCCGCTATGCCAAGCAATTTTTAGAGCTTTTTAGAGCAGAGGGAAAATCGCTCAGCACAACTCAGTACCAAGACCTGGAAGATCACTGTCAGCCCTGTAGTAGCTCCGGCCAGTGGTGGAACTACCAGGGTCGCTGCGGTCGCACTTGCGACCGGGACCTGGTGTTCCGCCAGTTCGGGGGGCCCAGAGAGAAGAGGATGGCACAGCGAAAAATGCGATTGGCCCCAGCGGCTCTAATCGCACCTGTCAGCGCTCCCTTTCTCCTCCCGGCCGCTGCAGCTTCAGAGCGGCCAGGAGAAGAGATAGTATGATTACTATAACCACAATCATAAATGGACAGGAGGGGATGTAGATTACTTCCCATCCATTCATAATTGAAGATATAATAACCATACTCTGTCCTCAATTATCTACTCAGCGATCACTGGTCAGTGACTGTCCTCAATTATCTACAAACACTCAGCGATCACTGGTCAGTGACTGTCCTCAATTATCTACAAACACTCAGTGATCACTGATCAGTGACTGCTTGTACCTCGCTCTCCCCTCTGACACATAAAATAAAACCCTTTCAAACCGGTTTGAAGAAAAAAAGGGGTCAAAATCATGTTTTTTTTTGGGGGGGGGGCTTTAATGGTTTCTTGCACCGAGGCCCTGAGGTTTCTAGTTAGTTACGCCTCTGGCTCCGGCTACCACAATGCTTTACGATATCCCCATGGGCCACTCAGGTCAAACATATACATACAGTGGGCCAAGCTGTGTCAATGTAAGTATGCATAATAATTTATGCCTGGAGTTTAGCTTTAATTTATTTGCCCAATAAAGATTAGATTATGTCAATCTAGGAGCATGTTAACAGAAAGACATAAACAGGAACCCTTTAGTATATATTTATCAAATCAATGCCTTAATTGTTTACAAGATACGTCTTGCTTTTCTACAACAATAAGGAGATAAGTCTTCTGCAGCCTTTTGGACATCCCTTACTGTGGTGAGATGTTTTATGGTTCAGGTTCCAACTAAACTTGGGTGCCAGGTGTGATTGCAACACATATTAAAAGTTAAATGCAGCATTTATACAAGTAATGTAACAGTTGCAAAGAGTCCAAAACAATAGTAAAATAAAAGAAAAAAATATGTTTTTAACAATTTTACTATGTAGTCTTACATGTCTTACCTAAAGAACACTGTGCTGGTGCCCCAGACCACATTCCATCAGATTGGCATGTTCGCTGTTGGGATCCATCAAGTATAAAACCACTGTTACAACTGAAAGTGATGGTTGAGCCAACTAGGTAGGTTGTTCCATTCTTAGCACCATTTGCTGGTGGCCCAAGCCAGCCACACGAGACCACTGAAAGTAAGACAACAAAATAATTGTCATTATAAACAATGTAATTTGCACATCAGTGCTACTGCATGGCCACTTTATCAGATTAAAAATCTTTTTTAAGTAGATATTGTTATGTTATTTTTAGCCTGTCCATGTTTAGTCCTGAAAAGCATCTGTCTACTCCTCCAGAGGCACTGCTGAGACAAATATCTTGGATCAGGACATTAACTACCATTTCACAGTTATCAACAGAAGCTGTGAGGCAGTGGGCCCAGGCAGAGGGACTGACATTTAAAAGAACATTTGCTATATCATGTACAGTATACCCATCACTGTGAGCACCCATAGACTGCAGGAGGCACTAAAAGCAAATGAAACCTTGAAGTATGCCACTCTTGTGGATAAAAAAAAGAGAGGATGATGAGAGTTATGAACATTATACCAATTATCTCTGTCTCAGTGAGATGGATCTAAATTCAGTTAAAGGGCCCCTTTGCATATATCCAAAGGGGGCTGAAGCAATTGGTTGTGCTGTAGTATTTCCAGTTATTTCAACTCCAGTAAGGCGAAAGTTACCAGTCCTGCCTGTAAAATGTGAACCATTTAATCCCGCTGCTTCATCAGGAGAGACTGTAATGTTGCCTTCTACAGCCACTAAGCAGGAAACAAATATTGAGCATCTGCCGGCTAAAAGTCACTGAAGTCATAGCTCAGAATTTACATGCTGATACTCATCGCAAATTAAAGGCTTTTTCAGGAGTGTTACCTGTTCCTGCTGAAAAAGAAAGCTTTGAGGTGACAGGTATGGAAAGATTTTGCACGAGTTATGGAGGAATGGACTTACACAGAGGAAAAAGAAAAAACAGTGCATCATGAAAATCCTAAGACCACCAGCATCCATTATTATTAGAGCTTATAAGGACATACATGTGAGTACCAATGCCGAAGAATACATTGAAGTTTTAACAGATACTTATGGACTGCACCGTGACCCTAATCAGATGTCTGCTGAACTTAAACAGACAAAGCATAAAGAGGGAGAGGATGTTTCTGTATTTGTGAGGAGGCTATAAGTGCTTCTAGGAAGATTGCTTACTGAAAAGGTCATCTCTTCTGCAGATTTTGACAAATTAAAGACTGCTCAAATAATAAAGGGGCTACCGCCACATCACCCAATTTCACCAGTCTAAAGAGAGAGAAACTTTACTTTTGCTGAAACTATGGCGAAAGTAAAGAAACAAGAGGCTGATATCCTTTTTAGTACCGCTACTAAGAGCAAAGTTAAACTGAGTTCTTTGGTCCAAAATGAGACTGTTGCTAAAAACAAAGATGTTGGTAAACTGCCACAGCCTGAAGCCCTATCTGCTGATAAAACTTCCAGACATAAGCCTCTCTTCCCAATTAAATGTTTCCCCTGTGGACAAGCAGGCCACACAGTTTGTCAGTGTCCGCTGCTTGCTGATTCGGCTTCCTAAATTCACAGTGAAGCTGGACAGATGTATAAAAAAAACTGGGAAAAACAAAAAAAGTTTACCAAGCTACTTGGGGTAGGCCTGAGATGTACTTTCAACTTGTTTGGTAATGACAAACACGCTACTGTTCTGTTTGACACTGGTTCTCAGCTGACTATTATATACAGGCCTTTCTATCAGCAACAATTTAGCCACATCCCTTTGCAACCTATGAACACTATGCCTGTTTATGGTGTGGGAGAAAATACGGTTTTGTGGATGGTTGTCTAGAATTCGAGCTTTGCATTCCTGGTGTGATAGCTGACGAGGATCGATCCCCCACTTAAAATCATTGCCTATGTGAGCCCCCCACCTGGGGTTAATAAGCTGGCTCCCATGATTGTGGGTTCCAATGTTGAAGCCATTGAGGCTGCTTTAATACGGCTCCTTCAGCCACAAAAGGGAACTCCCCTAACTTCACTGCCTGTAGCTCCAGAACTTCAAAACATCTGCCAAACCTTTGCTCCTGATCTTCCTGGAGAATGTGTAAGAAATCCCTGGCAGCCCATAGAGCTTCCACCGGGGAGAGGGTTTATGTGGAAATCTCAACAGGGGCAAATGGTAGCTTTTTTTCCTGCTAGACACTGATCCAAAAGAGGCTGCAAAGAATGGCTGGAAGATAAAGACTATCGTTTTAAATGTCTAAGAATGGATGTTGTTATTGTCCGCAATATTACAACATACTGAGTTAGAATACCAGCCAGGCAGGAGGTGGCCTATTGTTACCCAGTGGAAACCATTAGCTCCTACCCTGCCAAAGTTGAGGAGCAAGAAACCATATTAGACTTTCACCTGAATGATGTTGATAGTCCCGCAGAGCACAAACAAGCACTAGGAAAGCAGGTAATGGAATACAGTGATGTTTTCTCTACTGATGACATGGATGTTGTGTGGGCTAAAAGTATTCAGCACAATATTTAATAGCACCCCATTTAGAGAGAGATGCAGACACATACCTCCTAAAGGTTTGGATGATGTTTGAGAGTGCCTGCACAAAATGAAAGATCCAAAACATAATTTTTGAGTCTAAAAGCCCGTACGCATCCCCAATAGTGGTGGTCAGAAAGAAAAATGGTGGAGTACGAATATATATACAGTCATTTGATAGCCCACACAGCCCAACATAGACCCCGCACAGCCCACCATAGAGTCCACACAGCCTCCTGAGACCCCACAAAGCTCTCTGAGATCCTCCGCTGGAGACATTAGGCCGGCACCCTTGAGCAGCGCAGGTTATGTAGCTTCATAATATTCTGCATTGATGTATAATGCATTGCTGGGATTTGTAGTCCTCTATAGCCAGATGCCATTTGGGATTGCTGTATGATGTATAGGATTTGTAGTTCCCCCTAGCTGATGGTATTATTCTGCATTGCTGTATAATGGATTTCCAGGGATTTGTAGTCCTCTATAGCTGATGGTATTCTGCATTGCTATATAATGTATTGTTGGGATTTGTAGTCCTTTATACCTGGTGATATTCTGCATTGATGTATAATGTATCACTGGGATTTGTAGTCCTCCTTTAGCGGGTGGTATTCTGCATTGTTGTATAATGTATTGCTGATATTTGTAGTCCCTCTACATCTCTACAGTCAGAGGCAGAACTACCAGGGATGCAGTGTTTGCAGCTGGGACCAGGCCATGGCACTTTATCACTCTCCTAAAATCATTAGTCTGCATTGCTTTGGAAAAAATGTCCCATGACACTAAAAGGTCTCGGTAATTGGTATCAGTGAGTAAAAGTACCGGTACTTGTACACGGTCAGGAAAAAAGTGTATCAGTGCATTCCTAGCTATGAGAGTAGCTGCCACAGGGAATTACACACATCTTTTCTCCTTTTTTGTGGTTTCACTTTTTATACTAACTGTCCTTTTTTTTTAAGGGCACAATAAGCTCATGTTGTGGTCAAACACTGCCTTTAGCATTTGAACAAAGCACTGTTCTGACACATACATTGCACTTCAAAATCCAACAAAAGCCCATGTTTGATAGAAACCAGTAGGTTGAGCAATCTGCCAGGTATTATACACCTTGTAGAGACATAAATGGTGAGGTTTTCTAACAGTAGTTTGTGTCTCCATCCCCTCCCAAGGCCATAATAATGTGATGGTATAATATGTTAAACACAAACATTATTTTGGACTTAAGGGCTTGGTCACACAATATGTGTTGTCAAGTATTCTTCTGAATTTTTGGATATGACAAAATCCACAATTTCCTATAGAACCTGGCCAAACCCACATGAGGTGTGTTGAAAAAAAGTCTCAGTTTATTTTTGTGTTGACCTGCAAGTCAAGATCTTAAAAAAGGCAATGCATCTAAAAATAGATGACAACATTTATTAACACAATGTGTGCTAATTCAGTCATTTTTAAGAACATTTAGTGTGAGCATATACTCAGAATTGTCATGGTTCTCCAATAAGAGCATGCTCATACAACACAGATAATGAACATTTGATCTACCTGGTTTAAGGTTCTCCACCAACATGATGTGATTTTGATGTGAGACCTTGGTGGCATTGCCAATCTCCAGACTTCTTGTGGTAAAGGCATCAAATCTGCACAATGTATCATTACCACACATATTTTCTACCTCCTGAAACAGTGTGTCATTTTTGTCCTCTTCGATGTAAAATGTGGGTATGAAATCAGGATCATGCTTCAAAGCATATTCTTCAAGAAGATCTTGAGTGTCATACAGGAAGAGTGAAGTCTGATTTGTTACTGACCCTAAAGGAAAGAAAAAAGGGTTTTAAAAATGCCAGAGTAAAAAATGTAAGTTTAAGGCTTAGTTCACACCATATCTAGTGCAATCCGGGACGGTTCTGTGCCTGGAATGCACTGGATCGCATAAAGCAAGCCTCCCGCATTCTGGGGTAGGACATTCATGTCAATGGCACGAACCATGCCAGAACACACTGGATATGGTGTCAACTGGCCCTTAGACCAAACCTATAGCACAAAATGCCACCAAATTGTTATGCAAAAAAAGTGAAATTGAAGCTAATCTACACATACTGTATAGGGATATGCTCAAACAACAGTTCGACTCGAACATCGCTAGTTTGTGTGTGCGGTGAACACATGAACTGTCAGGGCATTCAGTGGGCTATTCGCCCGCCGACTGCCTCACAAGGCCTTGTGGGAGCCCTGATTGGGTAAAGCAATGCATCTGACCACAAGTCAGGTGCAAGACTTTGCCCAATCACGGCACAGAGAACTGTAGGAGCCATGATTGGGCAAAGTAATGATACTTTGCCCAATCATGGCTCACAGCTCAGCCCCCCCCCCCCCCCCCCCCCGCCTCTGAACACAGGGAGCCG